ATTAAATAACTAGAAGTATTTAGGTATAAATTTTTCATCTTATGGCTGGAAGCCATATATATTTGATTATTGTTATCTTATTAAATGGCTAAAAGCGATTTAATTTGAATTTTGTATTTTATGACCAGAAGTCATATATATTTAATTTTTTTTATCTTATTAAATGGCTAGTTGCTATATAACTTTGATTTTCTATCTTATGGCCAGAAGTCATATATATTTGAATTTTTTTTATCTCATTAAAAAGCTAGAAACCATATAATTTGTATTTTCTATTTTATGGCTAGCAGCCATATATATTTAATTTATCTTTATTTATATATATCATGTTAAATTTCCTATTTTATGGCCAGAAGCTATATAAATATATATATATATTTATATATAATTTTTCTATTTCTTCTTAAATGGCTCACATCCATATAACTTTGATGTTCTATCTTATTACTAGAATTTGTAAAGATTTAATTTTTTTGTTATTTTATTAATTGGCTAAAAGCCATATAACATCAAATTTTTATCTTATGATCAGAAACCATATATCTTTAACTTTTTTATTTTGAAATTAAATAGCTAGATGCCATGTATCTTTATTTTCTTTATTAAATGGCCTGAAATCATATAGTTTTGATTATGAGAAGGATTATTATATAGTTTGTTTATAAAAGAAAAATTATGACAATTAGAATTATAAATAATGTAGTCCAGAAAACTAATGACTATATAGTGAAGGATGTATTGGTAAAAGAGTTTACCTTTTTCTCTTTATTTCATGTTACATTTAATTAATTTAAAATTTAAGTTTTATTCTTATTTTATTCTCATATATTCTTCACATTCAATTTGATATTTATTAATATTATAATTTCCTATTACTAAATGGCCATCAACCATTATACTCATGTTATTGAATGACATGAAAATAACAACTTATGATGTTTTAAAAGCCCCGAAGACTTATAGTTCAAATATTAAGAGACAAGGATGATTTTTAAAATATATATTTACTATATAGAATCTTGAAGACTAATAACTTATAAATAGCCCTGAAGGCTTATGAATTAAATCTTCATAACTATATAGTTTGATTTTAATCCTTGTAGATCTTCTCAAATTTTTGTTGGATTTATAATTTTATGAATAAGTTTGAAGCATTACATAATATATACAAAGAAGTGAAGTTTTTGAATAATGAAATATCCATAAAATTTTATGTTTTGAAAAAAAATATATATATACACATACACACACACACTTCATACTTTGAAAAAGCATAACTAGAAGTAAAGTATATCATATAGTGAAAAAATAATATATGTTAATTCCTGAACAACTATATATATTAGAATATTTGTTTATCAAAGGGCTTTAAGGTGATAGCGCAATTGGATTGAAATTCATTATTATATCTGAATTAGGAAGCATTTGGATTTCCAAGTTAAAGATATGTTATTAGCTTACTCTATTCACTCTATTTGAAATATAGAAATAAGAAAAATATATTTATATGACTCACACTTGAGGGGTAGATTGTTAAAATACAAGTATGAATTATGTGGAATGAAATTTGTTATTATTAATATTAACATCATTCCTTATATCTCATATTCTTTTTGAAAAAAGCTCCAGAAGAGTCAGTAGCGCTCAACCTTCCATGAGTACACAAGTTTTTACCATTAGGTAAAAGATGAAAAATAATGCTCTAGAAGAGCTATATCATGAAGATAAAATCTATAATTGATAGCATATTCCTTATGAAATATTAAGGCGAAAAATAAATAATATGACATGGTAACAAGAAGTTTACTAATAATTGAGAATAATTTTATAATAAACCAGAAGTTTATACATTTATAGTTTGGCATGACCAGTCAGATCATCCCGGATCATAATGATGCAAAATATTATGAAAAATGTGCATTGTCATTTATTAAAGAACCAGAAGATTCTTTAAAAATGATATATAATTCAAGAATTTTTATGTGTTGTTTGTTCTCAAAGAGAATATCACTAGCTATGCTCAAAATCGGATTCGTACAGATTTATAATGTATCAACTTTATATATAGGCCTATTTAGACACCATGTGGACCAAAGTAATATTCTGTAAGTGAAAGATGCATCTATAAAATGGTTACCGGTGTTTATGATCAACTTGCAACTTGAAATTTGCAAATATGTTCAGATAATTACATTGAGTACATAAGTTCTTGATTATGAAATCAATATGATTCTCGTTGAGATTGCTAATGATTGTTCCTCACATTGCTGATGATTATATGTTTTATAAAAGCCTCCATATAAAGCCTCCATAAGTAGCTAGATCATAGTTTATGAGAACAGAATTCCCATTTGAGTGTTGAGATGATTGATTTTATATATTTTTACATATAAATGCATCAAGCCAACAATGTATTGTGAATTCTCCCATTATAATTGACTTTTGGTCAGGAGCCAGACATTTTTCATCTTAAAATGTGTGATATCTATTTTTCATTGCAATAACGCACATAGATGAATATTAAAAGTAAGTTGGGATCACTGTTGGATAAAATCTCTTTATTTTTGTTTGTCTCCAAATGAAACAAAATAATGTTTTTAAAGGAGATTTACGGATTTAGGAGATCTACATTATATGTTCCCAATATGAGAGGGAGAAAATGTGTAGCTAGAAAAGAGAATACATAGAATGCATTTTTACTATCAAATGCAGATCCTCAAATATAGTAGTATGAACTAGAAGTTCATAAAGTATTGCATTCTTAAAATATTATTAATATCTGCCAGATGTAATTACTGATCAAAATGAGAATTCTTAATTCTTATATTCCAGCTAAAAGTGCTCCTATTCTTGAAGACATGCTAAAAGCATGAAATTATGATCGGTTCCAAAAGAAAAGAAAAAGGAGCAAATGATCATGATGATCATACTAATGAGACATGAATTGCAAAAGAGATTAAAACACAATTGTTTGACCCTTAAAGAGGTTCAAGTGTCTGAAAGCAATAAAGAGATCTCGATATGTTATGTCATAAAAGAAAAGGGGACCGATAAGGGAATAAAATTGTCGAAAATAATTTTATTGATGATATCATGTGATCAAATGAGGATTTTATGTATAAATCTGTCATGAGATACAGACAGAAAAATGGTTGGCCAACAGAAAAGAAAAGACACAATGTAACAGGGATTTGTGTATCGCTAGCCTATGCACTTGAAGTGTAATGCTAGTATTATGTAAATAGGCATTTGTACAATATAAAGAGAAATAAAGTCTTGTGGTGGATTAAATTACATGTCTTATCAATTTGATAGTCTGGTAATAAATGAAATTTTTTCATGTGCGTCTTAGAAATATATAACTATAACGTATGACTCACATTATAGTGAAATTTTATATGAATCCCTGAAAGATTCAAATTCTTGTATAAATTCAAACGATTCAATATATGAATAGATATGGATCATAATGTATGAAAATCCTTAAAAGATTTAAGTTTCTAGAAGCATACAATTATGTTCTCAAGAACACTATTTAAGTAAGTCTCTATATGAGACATATATGGTTAATATCAACTGAAGGAATGATGTAAACATATTCCAACTTGTCTATTTGTGAAAATATTCAAAATGAGTTTGTTATCAGTATTATTTATGATGATATTATCAAAACTCCTGATGAGTTCTCAAAAGTTGCGAATTACTTAAAGAAAAAGTTTGAAATGAAAACTTTCGAAAGAATGCATATGGATAAGTCACATCCATTATGTGGATAAGCAACATCTATTATATGTTTCGGTAGTTGTAAGATCTTTAGATATGGACTAAAGATCGATTTAGACCTCTAGAAGGTAATGAATAAACACTTGGTCCAAAAGTACCATATCTTAGTATCACTGTAGCATTTATATATCTATCTAGCTATATAGAATTTGAGCTATCATTTGCTGATTAGCATGATATAGTTCTTTATCAACATGAAGATGTTGGAATGAAGTTAAAAATATTCTTCATTACTTTAAAGATACCATGGAGGTAATATTATTTTATCTGAAAATATCCAAGACTAATCTTAATGGATATATAGATAAAGTATTCTTGTTTGATTCTCATGTCAAGAGATCATAGTATGATCCATGTGTGGATAAACCATAAAAAGACTATTCGTCTCATGATTTTCAGAAGATCATGAAATTCATATTTGACGTTTTTATCTCATTACAATATTTGGAAGGGTTGTTCGTTATATTAGACTTTACAAGCTCGAAGATGTCAACTGATGTTGCTAAAAGGGGGAGTTGATACACGCTGTACTCTTTTTTCCTTATCTATGGTTTTGTCCCACTGGATTTTCCTAGCAAGGTTTTTAACGAAACAGCATTGCATAGTGTATCAATGAATGATGTACTCTTTTTCTTTTGCTAGGTTTTTGTCCCACAGGATTTTTTCTAGTTGAAGTTTTTTAACGAGGTACATTCATATATATTGGACATCCAAGGGGGAGTGTTATGAATATAATAATATCTTTGTGGATATCCATATATCTCTCATTATTTCCTATAATCTCTAATATCTCCTATTATCTCTATATCCCACAATTATCTCATATTATTATGTAATCTGTAGATTCTATCAAAGATATAAAGCTGTGCCTATAAATAGATGTCATGTATAATGTATTGAGCACTCTTGAATGGAATGAGAAATACTCCCTCTTGTTGATTCTCTCATCCTCTGTATGATTCTTCTTTATTTATAACAAGAACAAGTTTTTATAATTTAAACGTGATCTTTGTCTAAACGATTTTGAAGAGTAGTAGCTCAGTAAATATTTTTCATGTTATAGTATGTGAGCAAAATAACTTATTGTACGTAGTATACACGTAAAAAAAGCCCATTCGAGGTTAGAGTAAATTTCAGAAGAGAGTAGGGTTGAAATTAAAATTATAAGAGAAGGGCAAAGTAGACTTTTACACATATCGTCATCTCCACATGCCCTCTGCTTCAGCTTCAAACTCCTTTCTGTGGGCACGTTTCCAGTCCCTCTTCCATCTTCAGCCACCTCTTCGTCCCTGCTTCTCATCTTCCTCAATACGCCACGTTTTGTTCTTGAGTGGCAAGATCCTCATCTCCTTCGCTGACACGGTGCTTCTCAAAGAAGCCAAGGAGGAATTATAAATACAGCGAAGATGAATGTATAGAGAGAGAGGGAAGGAAACCGCGGGAATCCGAGGAGCAAGTCGAAGGGAAAGAAGAAGAGGAAGGAGGGAGGATTTGCCACATGCAATCTGATCTTTGAACCAAGGTAAATGCTTTGATTCTTCCCCATTTTCATTTTCTGGGATCATGGCATTTGAGGGATCGAAGAGGGTGAAACCTAAGTGGGTGGGGGAGGAAGACTTAGTGAGTGAGTGAGATCCCTGAACCCAAGTGAACTTCTAGATTTCACTCTACCCTCTGCTTCTTCGTTTGGGTCTGATTTAAGGGGGAGAGACGTTTGAAACTGAAGCAAGATAATAGATAGGATATTTGATTAAACTAAGAGTAGTTACTGTTTGAAATTTGGGCTATTCGTCGGAAATAAATCTTGAATAGTTGATTCATATATATATATGTTGTGCGATTGGTCATGTTGAAAGTGATTTCCGTACTCCTTCTCTTTTGTTTTGGTGGGTGTAGCAACGGGTTCCAGAATAAGATGGAAAGGGAAGTTGTTTGGGCATTTGATTAATGACATTAAACACTTGAATACTATGTATAAATATACGCATGGAGATGGATGTGTGTCCGTGCTATTGAGTTATTCTTTTACTTCGAACTTTGGTCAAGCTAACTAAAAGAAAAGAAAAGGAAGAAATTTCTTTAGTTGCTAAGAATATGTGTATGGGTGTGTCATCTGAATATGTGAAGCTGGAATATTTTTATATAACCTTCAAATGCTGCCATTATTGATACTGTAACAGTAGTTTAGAGTTTAGACTATTAAAATGCTGCTAGATTTCTTAATGGAACCCGTGAGACTGTTGGATGATAATCAAGCTAAGTAACAGTGATGATAGCTAGTAAATGAGGATGATAATTCAGATTTAAGAAGGATGCTGTCATGAGGCCAAACTGAATTATTGAGGCTTGAATAGCTAAGCTATATCTATATATATATATATATATATATATATATATTGCGTGTTATATTATTGTTGCTGGATGAGATGGATGCTGAAAATTGATTTAAACTTGTTAATTGCCGTTTTGGAAGCTGAAATATGTTGAGAATGCTATTGATGTGAATTTTGCTGATTCATGTTTCAAACTGGATTATTATATGTGTGGACATTTGAACCATTCCATTTTAATGTTTTGAGTTTGTAATTGAAGCAAGAAAAGTGGTATTAAATTTCTATATAATGCCTAAAATATTAGCTGAGTAATTAGATTGTTAAATATGTTGCTGGTATAGGATAATGACAGCTTTATGTGTTTGAAGGTATTAAAATGGGAGCTGCCCATGAAAGAACCTAAAACCAAAGTATATGAGCAATTGGCAATTTGAGGGATGATATTAAATCTGGAAAATTTCCAGAATAATCTGGAAAATACTTCATGAATGAGAAATGTGCGATGTACTTGAATGGGATGATTATAGAGTTGTATGAATGTAATATGATGGATGTGCCGATACATGCTCATTAAATTTGAATGTTGGAAATTGATATAAACTTTTTGTAGCTGTTACCAATGTTAAATGCTACCCACTGTTTATAATGGTTAGAGTGACAACTGAAAGTTAGGAATTCTCAATTCTATTAAGAGTAGTCATCGTTGCTGTGTGAGAATTGATTATTTTACTATTACAATCTCATGTCCTGTAATTTAAAGACTAAGGACATAAAATAGCCACTGTTTCATTAAGAAAGACAATGTGTGAATTATTAAAGGTTTAATATAATGGATAGAATAAAAGGCTTGGAGCTGAAGATCTAATAGAAGTTGCTGTTTGGTATTTACAAATATAAAGTTGCTATACATAGTGTTAAACAAATGCTCAAGAATAGTCGAAAGTTTGGTCTTGATTAAGTGGTGCTGTTTGAAATGTTATAGAGGTTTTGTGCATTGCTAGTGATTTGGGTAATGTTTTTAAAAGTTGAAAGTTATTGTGAATGTTGCTGAATTATATGTTTAGATGTTAAACTGTTATTCTCAGCTGTGTGAGCGAGATTGAATGTTCGAAACAGATAATAAAGGAAACTGACATACTTGATGAAACCATCCATGTTTGTGAAATGTATAAGAGTGAGCTAGACCTGAGGAACTAATTTGAAATTCCTTTTAAATATCTCTAAATGTCAAGTTAATGTTCTGTATAGCTATTCATAATCAAAGACATTGAATGATGATGTACGTTTGTTTTTCTTGCTAATCATAATCCTAGAAACATGAAGATTTGGTAACTAAGTTAAATCTTTTTCCCTAAACTAAATTATATTGGATTAAGAAGTTAAGAGCAACAAAAGTAAAGGAGAGACTTTAGAGACCCTTAGACTTATAAGCATAAAATTTTACCCAAGATGACTTATCCCCTCAAAGAGAGTTGGCCCGAGAGGGGGTTTATAGAGAGATTTAGTTATATATGGGTTAGCCATAACCCCAGTTTTGACTTAACTTATACATATACATGCACTGTTAGGTTTTAATTGGTGGCTTGGTTTACTAAGAAGAAACTCAAACCAAGATACCCGGAAAGAAAGGTAGCTTTAATCATTATTTTGTATCTTTTGTTTTGGTTGTATGTCTGTTTGTGTCATAATACTATAGTTAAGTATGAGAACATGTAAATTGCCTTACCAGTTATTGCTATGGTCATGTGTATGCATTTCACTGTTTAGCATATATGTATTTAATAGTTAATTAGATAATAGCTGCACAGTTTTTCAGTTAATCACAGTTATGCAATTAATCAGTTAGTAGCTGTACAATTACTCAGTTATTCAGTTATGCAGTTTAGATGATTTGTTAGCAACTGCTCAGTTATACAGTTCAGTTAGTTAGTTATGCAGCTGTCCAGTTATTTAGTTATACATAACAGTTATATGAGTTTCAATTAAATGACAGCAAATATGTCTAAATTAAATGACAGATATTACTGGCATAATATCTACAATTGAATTCAAAAAAGCATGGGCCTCAGGTAATTTCACGAAGAAAAAACTACTTGAATAAAGAGCAGAGTTAATACAAATACAGACCAAACTAAAGATATTAAGCATAACAAACATTTTGTTCTTTAAGATAATTGTATTTTTTCTTTTTGTGAATTAAATTAATAAAAATTCAAATTAAGTTAATATTATTATCAATTATTTTGTAAGGTGTTATTCTCTATGGTTTGTCTTGCAAGCTTAGTTTTTTACCACGTATAATATATGAAATATGATTACTATTGAGATTTTTTGAGTCTTACCCCTCCTTTCTAATTTAACCATAGGGCCCAATTCATCCAAGAGGAAAGAGGAGTTGGTGGAAGGATAGCTAAGGTTGAAGGAGAGAAGAACTTAATGCTTAGTTAATTGATTAATTTTGAATACATTCGATGTTATGTTTCCCCTTTTTTCTTTTGTGACATGTGATGCTTATACTTCCTTTTTGAGAAGTTAGGTAGATTTCACTTATAGGGCTACCTACATAAAGATGAGTGATTGGGGATAGTTTAGCATAGATGGGGAGTTAGTGTGTATATATTTATGTATATATTAATAATATATCTGGGGCATGAAAGAATTAGAATTTACAAAGCATGATTTATTAGAGCTGCAATAGAAAAGTACAGTTTTTAGAAATGACATCTTTACAGCTCTGATAAATAAAAGTTGTTATCAGGTACATGAAGAATAAAGGGAAAATCGCAAAAAAAAGCTGCTGAAATAGAAAAATTATAAATAGGGACTCCTTACAACATTAGTATGGTTTTTGACAATAATAATATGGGTTTTAACAATAATTTTTGTGAATGGGTCCTTGTGTGCGATAATTCAATTTTGATGGTCCTTTTTAACGATTTTTCCAAGAATGAATCTAAGTCTTGTTTTTATAACATAAATCTTGAAGAAAATAAAATGACAAGTTATGATTCAAAGTTCAATAAAAAGTTTGGTTGTAAGTCTTCAGCCATAATAAATTTGCTCATATCTAGGTGTATAGAGGAGTGTGCTGCATAAGTTATTTATATCCCCAATTTTTTTTTAATAGATATTATAGATATCTTTTGAAAATAAATTGTTTGTATCAACGACATATGGAGTTGTGTTTATCTTTTAATCTATGTTATCAAATTTAACAGTTAATTTGATTTTTTTAATGTTTATATTTTATTTTTTGAGAGAATTTAAAGCCACTTTTAATAGTAGAATCCATTATTTTCAATGAAGGTATCAAAATATTGCCGGTAAAAAAAAAAAAAAAAGAAATCACAGTCGCTCTTCAATCTATTAATGGTGTTCTTGGCTCATTTGCTTTTCACGAAAAAAAAACCCTCCTTATAACAAGATGGATTTGTATTCTTTTTATATCAATCAAACTTTAAAGCATCTTTATATAATTTTTTTCTAGAATTAATTATTTTTTTAAAATTGAATTGAAAATATGAAAATATCAAATGAATATTAATCAAAGGATTAAAATGTAAATATTTATTTTGTTAACTTTGTTTAACAATTTTCTAGAATTAAAACACTCCAACATAAGTAGTAATGATGTTAAAATATAAAACATGATAAGTTACAAAAAATATTTAGTCATTATGTATAATATTTATGTTATTAAAATATTTTGAGCCATAACAATGAATATGATAACAACTAAAAAAACACAAATTTGTTGATAAAAAAAAATTTATTAAGAAACATTAATAATCTTTTTTAATTGTAAAGATTGTGATATAAAAATTTGTTATAATTAATAATTTTTAACACACTATAATGCTATGCCTTTCAAGATTGGAATATTTTAATACTTTCATTAAAAATTACAGTATTTGGTGAAGTTTTGGTATAAGTTCATGAGTATTTTTTACCCTTAACTTTTTTTTATTAGTGATATTCTGATATTTTCATATAAAAATTGTGGGTCCTACCACTAAAAAACAGATGTTAACACTTAACAGTGCTAGCATTTTTGTCCTACTTTTAAATTTTGATTGGTATATTTGAACTTAAAAAAAGTTTATGGTATTGGATAAACTTTTGGTATATTTTTATGGGTATTTTTTACCCTTAACCTTTTTTTAAGCTAACGTATATGTTTGGTCCTCTAAATTTTCATCAAGTTTCAACTTAGCTTCTTAATTTTATAAAGTGCATTTTCAATCATTGAATCTTAACATTCTTGATTTCACTTAACAGGAAATGTTATCTCAATAAATTTAACTTGTGACTGTACAACTAAACGTTGATAAAACATGCTTACATTTTACTCTTTTAATATGATATTTTAATTTTTTAAATTGCGTAAAGTAACAAACATTATTTAAAATAAAAATAACTCTATCTATATAGAATTGTTCTAGGGCTTCACGTGAACAAAACAGGGATGTTTGGAATCCAGGGGCGTTTGGAATACCTTGGAAGCACTTCTGAAAAAAGAAAAAGAAAAAAAGGAGAATTTCAATGAAACTCATGTAGCAACTTGATATCAGTCAAACCCTAAAGGATTTCAAAATTTCAATCCACCCCTTTAACCAAAATGAAATTAAAATTTAACAGTGAAAATACAATAATACTCCCCCTTTTTATATTATTTTAAAAGAATATTAATTGTCACCAGAGTTCTAATGGCCGGAGTTCTGACCTCCAGTGCCGAGCATCTAAGCACCAGTGGCCGATGATCGAACCTTCAACCTCCGGTGACTAGTCACCTAAGTTCTTGTAATATCCTAAATTTTGTGGATTTAATTAAAGCATGATGAAGAAAATTTTTTAGAGAAATTATTAATATTAAAATCCTTAAAATATGGTCTAAATAATTATAAAGCTAATTTAGGGAATTAAGAAGACTTATTTTCTTGAAAATTTGAGAAAAAATAGTTAGAGGATTATCTTTGAGTTGCGATTTTTAGAATAATTATTTTATGGAATAAAGAAGTTAATTGAGATATTAAGTCCTTATAATGTGTTAAGGATTAATTTTCAAAATTAAGGGCTATTTTCTTGAAGAATTCAAGAAAAATAGTTAAGAGTGGATTTTTAGGCAAACTATTTCATGGGTCAAAGAAGCTAAGGTAGTAACTCTTTAACTTTATTGTGATTGTGCATTGATTGCCGTATACTTGAATGTGCCATTATGCTTATTATGCATGAGAACATGTAAATTGCCTTTGCATGATATGATTCATCATGACAATATGTGCTAGTTTCCATTTATTTTGAAATGTGGGGATGATAGTTAGTGACTGGCTATATAAGTGTATGAAGTTGGTGCATCATTGATTATATTTGGTTGCAAGGTGGTGTTCTCTCTAGCCTTGGTAGCATGTTTGTTTGTGATTTTATATGATTACATGAAGGAATTTTGTTACTATTAGAATTCTTTAGAGTCACCTTTTTCTTCGTTGGCAAAAAAAAAGAAAAAGAAAAGAGTCACCTTTTTCTTCCATGTCATACATCAAAAGCAAGTACTTCTAGGGCAAGGGAGCTGTGATTGGTAGAGCTTGAAGATAGAGGAGGTTGAAAAATCTATTATGTATTTTGTTTAAATATGCTTACCATTTGGTAAGTTCATTAAAAATTATATGGTGCTTAGTAAAGTTTTGGTATTTTAATGCTTTCATTAAAAATATTGCAAGTCCCACTGTAAAAGTAACAAACATTTGTCCGTTTTAATGGCACCATCATTATTGGATTAGTAGATTTGAGACCAAAGAAAGTTCATAGTGTTGGATAAACTTTTGATATAATTTTATAGGTATTTTTGAATTTTAACTCATTTCTTATTTTATCCAGCAACTTAGGTAAGAAAATTCTAATCAGGAATATGAGGTGGAAGCAAACTAAATTCAATGTGGCATATTGGTCAAAAATCAAAAAGCTCTCTCAATTAGAGATGGATTTAAGGTATCCACGTTCCTGTACCATGCTAAATTGCCAACAAATGTTGTATTATAGATGTAACCAAACATGTCAGTCCTCCCTTAACTGGTTCAAGACCTTTATTCGCTACACAATCTCAGAAGTTAGAAATTGAAGATTCTACTGATTCATAATTTTCTTGTGTTATTTATAAGTTACCTTTAACATATTTCACTAAAATTGTAAAAAAATCTTAAACCTTATAAACTTTACCTTAAAATTTATTCATCCAGTTTTATTTGTAAGGTAGAAAGAGGAGTTTTTTTTTTGTTCTATTTATAAGTTATTTCATTTAATTTTTAGCATGAATGTATTATTTTGTTGTTCATTTATCATAGTGTAGGTAATTATTTTTTTTTAAAGGTGTATATATTAAATAAGGATAAGTTGAAAAGCTATTATATTTTAATAGAAAGTCAATACAGTTTAAAATTTTTCTTAATCTGTACAAAATATACTGAAAATTTTTTATAAATAAGACTAAGGGGGTGTTTGGCTTTTTTGCCAAACCATGGTTTGGTTTGCTAAACCATGGTTTGGCAAAAAATTTGCCAAACACCCCTATTTTTTTTAAAACCAAGGTTTTGAGCAAAACCTTGGTTCCAGAGAAGCTGGCGGGCGTAGCTTCTGAGGCAGCTACAGAGGGAACAAGCACGGGGGGTAGTCATTCAGGGGGGTGCAGTCAATCAGCACGCGCGGGCGGGGGGGGTGCAGTCATTCAGCGGGGGGGGCGCCGGGGGGGGGAGTCATTCAGCGGGAGGGGGGGCGGTAGTCATTCAGCACGCAGGGGTAGTCATTAGCTGAAGGGGTACAATTATTTGGCAAAATAAATCATTTTTTTAAAAACATATTTATTTATTTTATTAATATATATACACATTAATTTCTTATTATTTATATTATTTATGCCATATTTATTATGTTATCAAAATATATATTATTAATAAATTTATTACTTCAAATAAACATATATTATGAAATATATATTATATGTAATTATCATTTAAACTTATGTCCTTTTTAGTAATTTCTACATATCAAAAAGCACTTCTGACAATAATTATTCAAACACTCTCACTTTATCAGAATTACTTTTCCAGAAAATCTATTCTTTCAAAATCTATTCTCTCCAGAATCTATTCTCCAGAAGCTATTCTGCAAACCATGGTTTTGCCTCATCCAAACACCCCCTAAAGAGTAACCATTAAACTTTACCTCTATCTGACACCTACACTTTCCCAAAAAAAAAAAAGACAAAAATGAAGGGTAAGTAATACATTTATGATAAAAATTTAACAACACGCGTCTCATAAATGGGAGGGAAAATGTTTCTTCCTCTGTCCTATGATAGGATCACGGGAGCAAGTTTCAATTTGGTGAGTGAATTACCCTTGGTGCCCTTAGAAATCCCATAAA